CTAATCTCCAATATTAATTCACAGATGTGAATAGATTAGTCCAGTGTTTGTAGCTAAAATGTTTGTTCACGTTTAGAGTTAGCAGCAGCCAATTATAGCCAACCGGCAGTCACAAAAACAATCATTCAACAAAAGTCTCGAAGTTACGTTGGACCCAAGAAGCGGGCGGTTCGGTTGTATTTCAGTAAAACAACTTCTTTTAGGGTGATGTGACTGATGTTGATAGGGAAAAGGAAGATGATAATGAGCATAAAAAATAGCAAGTTACAAGTGCTGCAAGCTGAATGCGTGTTTGGCGTTATGCTCATCCTAGAATAACTGTCACTGACAAGTACTATTTCCCTTCTCCGCTCATTTTTACTGCTTTCTTCAAAGTAAAGTCTTTCATGATAGCCAAGTATCTATGTGTACCAATGATACCTTGCAGTCGATAACATATACTTGTCCGTGTGCGACTGGCATTATCCCTCCACAGTAGTACTCAGTAAACGAGTCTTGCGGAGCGAAACATTGTAACAAACAAGCCTCCATATCCAAGGACCAGGAATTGGCTTTATATGAATCTCTAGGTTGCATTTTTGGGGTCTCGTGGGATAGGTATTCACGTGACAGAGTTATCACTGTTCGAGGTGCATGATCAGAACACTAGATCAGAATAGAACACTTCTGTGTCCATCCTGGGCCCACATATAATACAGGACATCTGAGAACAAATACTTCCTAATTCAGACACTTGCATCCCGTGCTCACGTGGTTCAAACGCAAACGTATTTTTTGTAGAGATTTCATCTTGTAAGTGAAGCCAATCTATGCTGGAAAGCCGAGAAGCACTGCAAGCCAAACTCCGGAGAGACTCGAGCCCGCTACCTTCTGGCTAGTAGTTTGAACACAACCGTTCAACCACGAGCGGCTGACCAGCGGTGTGATTAATTCGCACTTAGACAAGATATCCTCATCCTCCAGTCGCGGGATTCACATCACGTGGTCACAAGTGTTGACTGGCTCCTTGAGTAATGACCTCTCAGACGGAAGTTTCACTCATCGGGTGAAGTATATTCCTCCACTGAGCTACTTATAGATTGTTGGTAGTGTGGAGACACTTACCCTAACAACAGACGTATATATCGACATCGACGTGGATGGTACGGTCAGCAATTCTAAGAGCGTCATCAGTCTCGCTTTCCTGTAAAGTATTACAGACATCTGGGGCGTTGTACTGGACATTCATCCCCCGTGGACTGACTGAGTTCTTAGGGATTCTTGGCTGACGTCGTTTCATTCGTAACGTCGAAGAAGTGCGAACTCCTACTCGGTCGTGTGGTCATGGTTAAAATAAGGTGTAAATTCACTTTTATCTCAGCTACGCCCAGTGTATTCCAGTTTGCAATTCAGGGGTTTTGCGGGACAGGTATTTTGTTCGGACTCACACCGCTCGTTTGAACGGCCGTCCTCCTGCACTGATGCAGTTATCTCCGTGAGTCCACACTAAAGGGAAGCATTGGACTCGAGTTTCGCTCTTATTAGAGTTCACCAGTAATGCATACCCAACGGCCGTGCCGGGATTAGAACCCCGGACATCTGACATGCGAGGAGAGCGTGTAACCACTATTCCTCCACCAACGCATCTGAATTATCATGTCTGAACAGGCGAACGTGTTCACACTTGAGCGATGTGATTGGTATGCCCGACAAATCATCGATACGACGACCCAGTAACTGTCCTGGTTGTGACGATCGATAGACCCGCCATTCAGGACTTACCAGTCAGGTAGTGTGACACGCGCTTGAAGTCCACTGGGCAAAGTTTTGGTTGCATTTTTGAGGTTTTGCGGGATAGGCATTTTGTTCACAGTCACACCACTCTCGTTTGAACGACCGTGTTCCTGTTCTGGCGTAATTGTTCCGGTGAGTCCACACCAAAGAGGGGAAGCAGTGGACTCGAGTTTCGCTCTTATCAGAGCTCATCAGTAGTGCATATCCAGTGGTTGTTTTCTCCATTAACGGAAAGGAAAATGGAATATCTGTGCGCACTTAAAAATATGGGGGTGAAGTAAACTGGGGATCGTAATATCTGCGTACGAGGAATGAAACACATTCGCATACGCTGTTATTCTGTTGAAACCAAATGCTTTCCTAATGTGTTTGTTATCAGGAACGCATCTGTCCGGCGACCAACAACATAATTCAGTACTTATATGCAACATTCGGTCCTTGAAGCCTAAACTGAAGATTTTGAGTAGTCCCATATGTCACGGAACGTTCTGATGCCAAGTGCATTTACTACTCCAGCTGACTTACTTGGCTCGGCTAGTAAAAGGAAGCCCACTCTGAAGGTTATCTTCATTATATCTCGTGGCTACTTATGAGTAGTTTCGGATTTTCCAGTTTGCACTTACATCAGCTGGGTCCAGCCAACGAGCACTAGCTTCTACGACAACCCACTCTTGAACGCTCCCCCAAATACGCTGAAGCCGCTTGATCTCTACTCATTGGCGCGCACCAGATGCTGACATGAACTAAACTGGACTTTCCTCAGCTTCAAATTAGATTTAATAAATTTCGCATCATTTGTGTGTTAACGTTTTCACCAAACGGATTTTAACAGGGTTAAATACCTGAGTACCTACCTGAAGGAGCCGGATTACTCGATATCATATCCGAAATTTTTATAGTGGGTCACAAATACATCGATTCAGTTGGAAGAGATGCAAACGACGGTTTGCAACCCATTTCACTTAATTTAAAAAACACCTTGTAAATTGCAACTCACAAATCATTCAACGTCGTCAGTGAATTAGAACATCTGTTTTTTTCTCTTTTTGACGGCCGCAGCACCTCAACTGAACCTCAGAAAGCGTAACAACATTCCTCAATCGCACACATTCACAGCTGGCTTTGACCGCCAGCGTGCAAGAACTTTGCCCAATATCAAGAGGTACGTCACGCTCTACAATATCAGCTTACACATCTTCGTATCATTATTGATTATTTCTGAAACACAAACTTCGGTTAATTCATTTAGATTGTTAGTAGACTTTATCGTTCTAAAATTCCATAGACTCAAAGTTCATACTTCGCTTTGTACACAATCTTTCATGCACCATGCTTCATACAGGAAAGGCACATTTTAACTGGGGTTTTTAGGCACTTTGTGTGGAACTTCCATATTTGCAAATGTCAGCCACTCACCGAAAGCAGTGCACAATCCAGCTGGACGACCATTTGGAATATATTTTTTTTCCGAAGAACCAATTTTATGCCAAATCACCGGACGATACCTCGCAAAATTCGCTAAAGACAAATATTTATGCAACTTTCATGGAGGGTTGGGAGAGGACGAACGGAACTCCACTCTGACGGGACAGACATTATCGTTTACACTGGAAACGTCATACACAAGGGGCAACGAGTCTTCCGACATATTGGTGCAGCGTGCACTCCACATAATCTGGAAGCGCATCACACCCCTGGTCAATCTGATGACGATGAGTCACCGGTGCAAACAGAGTGGAAAAAAATTCTGTTTATGGCAACATTGATATATCTCGAATGCATTGCAATCATACTGGTACCACATGGTCTACAATGCTTAATTCATGCAAATTCAAGTGTGAACACGTTCGCCTGTTCAGACGTGAAAATCCAGATGCGTCCAACGTGCGTTGGTGGAGTAGTGGTTACACGCCCGCCTCGCATGTCAGATGTCCGGGCTTCAAATCCCGGCACGGCCATTGGACATGCACTGCTGATGAGCTCTATTATGAGCGAAACTCGAGTCCAATGCTTTCCCTCTTTGGGGCGGACTCACCGGGATAATTACGCCAGAAGAGGAGGACGGCTGTTCAAACGAGAGTGGTGTGACTACAAACAAAATTCAGGACAATCGACGGGGGTTCAGTAGGACACATCATGGGGAATCCATATGGACCTACTCTTGTTTAACTTACTAGAATAACAGAGACTAAAAAACAACAACTGAAGCTGCATCCGAACCTGGTTAAATATTTATCAGCTGGCCCCTCTTACTCCTACCAGCCAGATTCATCTTGTAGACTTGTTGTCGCTCAAACGTGATGATTTAAAGTGGTAAATCGATTATTTCTGGCCCTACAATGTTTTATGGGCACGCTTAAGTGTTAGCCTGCATTTATACGCTTGGAAGCTCGCGTTGCATTGGAAATAGTGCCCCCACACTCTACTAATAACAATCAGGGTGGTCCTGCTAGAAATCGTTTTGGGTTTTTTCTTTCATTTACATAAAGAAACTCCATTCACTAAAACTGTCCCAGGTTTTGTCCTGAACCACGGACAAATTAAATCAGTGGATTTGGAGTTTCAGTTGACACTGTAGGTTGCCACATGTTGGTGCACACTTTCTAACCCCCAAATGTGTTTTTGTTTCCGTTAGGGCAATGAATATTTGTAGTGCGATCTAAGGAGAACTAAACATAGCAAAGTATGTTTCTGCCAACTATAGGTGCATTTTTCGGAGCAGCTGTGGATAGGGAGCGCGTTTTGATTGGCTGATCTCAGGGTCGTGTTGTGATTGGTCGGATGGTCAAAGTAAGCAGTCACATTTGAGGTCGCACCACAACTGTGTCGTTTCCTCTTCAAACGAAGTTCTTATTATTCTAGGCCACAAAGTAAGACCTCTAATGAGTACGGGAATCTAATGTATGAGACATTCCGCAAGGCTTTTTCAACGGATTGGATTAATTCCACCACAACATGGATATCTTCCAATTATTCCATACAATTCAGTAAACTAAAGTCAAACCTCAAACCTGGCCTCAAGACGCCGGCCGTCGTCGGCGCTGGCAATGGTGTGCCCGGACGAATGGCAGTCAGCTGTATTGAAGATTTGGAAGCAGCTGACATCCACGGTAACCGAATGTGGATACCACCAGCGTGTTCGATGTCAATGATTGAAGACCATACCGGGACCACAACAGATGAGGTAAGCAGTGTATTTACTTGATGAGAACTCACTAGCAAAATGAAGGCTGACTTTACCGATAAAAGCTTGGTTTTATTTGAGCGAGTGGGTTTCTAACCAGCTGAGTCATCCGAATAAATGCACTCATTGGCTTTACGACCTTTATTCAAGCAGCAAACAAGATGTTTTTTCCAACAAATTGTGCTTTTCCGGATCGCTTGTTCCACTTTTGCCCGAGGGTATTGCATGTTTGGAACAGGGGTTTCGGAAAACCGCTCCACTAAATCGCCTAATATTATTTTCAATAATAGGCTCCAACTTGTCACAGATTAGTTCCTACCAACTTCATGATTGGTTAGTTTCGGAAACTTGGTCTTCTTACACCCCCCCCCCAAATCGACAGACGCATACCTTATGTGTGATATGGTTCATGAAAGGAAGTACTACGGACTTTCAAGGACTCAGCTGACGAAAACCAGAAGGAAGGTCCATGCTACACATCTAACTAGTGTGCTTCATTAACTTTTTGAATGCACACAGAAATACACGTTTAAAACAAAGTGTATACTGAACCCTCAGGCAAGCTGTTGTGCCCCTATATATACACGGTTCAAAGGTCAGGTGATAGAAAGTAAGTAAAAGACAGGTGATTAATTCAAGCTACCCATTCAGTCGACCGTACTAAACAGGAAAAAACCGAGTGTATACTGAGCCCTCAGGCAAGCTGTTGTGCCCCTGTATATACACGGTTCAAAGGTCAGGTGATAGAAAGTAAGTAAAAGACAGGTGATTAATTCAAGCTACCCATTCAGTCGACCGTACTAAACAGGAAAAAACCACATGGCCTCTAATCCCATTGTTCTCAGCAGGTATGTGTCTCCCAAGTTTATTGATCGGGCACATAGCGGGTGACAGAATACCCGCAATATGTGGGACTTATTAGTCTTGTTCGTAAGATCAGTACACACTAGTATCAGAAAGGTCAGCTTCCTGAAAGCAACCGCTGAATGCCTGAAAACTACCGAGACTCTCAACTCCGCTAGATGTTGACCAGACAGACAACGCCCCCCTCAATGTACAGCGCCTCACAGCCTTGTATCGAACCCAGACAGCGAAAGTCAGCGTTGACCAAGGTCAGACAACGCCCCCGCAATATGCAGCGCCTCGCAGCCTCGTACCAAACCCAGACCGTGTGCGTCAGCATTGGACCAATTTCAGATAGTGTCCTTCCAATAAATAGCTTGAGAACGTTGTACTTTCGCACTCGCATACACTAACGCTCTCGCACTCGCTTGTTCGGAAAATAGCACTAGGCACTGGAGCGGGTCAGCAGCATATTCCACAGCTTGGCGAATCAGCAGATATAAGAACTAGTCAGCTAACTATTCCCTTTAATAATAGCAAGATTCCGTTTTACCGTGTTAGCGCCTTGTAGCATTAATTGAGCAGCGCCAAATGAAACATTCGGAGAAATCTGATAAACTGCGACAAAAATCAATGTTAGCGGAAAATCTCACAGTGTAAGTTTAACTGCCCGCAACTTGCGTTGCGTTTCAGGGGTCTGTTCACTGAAATTTCATTCAGTAGAACTTTTTGGGAAAATTTATTAACCTTTTGGTCGATTACAGTAGAAGAATTCTAGGTAGTGGCTACTTTTTGCGTCCGCTCATCAATAAACACAAACAGCAATCTTTTTGGAAATTAACCTGGGCTTCACTCAGTAACTGGGCTTGCAAGCGGCTCTCTTAACGGTTCCTTCGTGATATTCAACACCACGCCGAGTAAAATCGACGTAGGCTGTCTGAAGGGATTTACTCATTTACCGGAGTGATTCCATCCTGTCAGTGAAGCCAATCTGTACTGAAAAGCTGTTTCATCCTTATTTGGAAACATCTCCGGGGGGCGAAACTCAGATAGGTTCGGAACCGCGATCTTTCGGTCAGTGGTTAAACACCAGCGAAGTGCCAAGTTATCGCTAGCTCAAAGTGAGCAAGTCGTATTTCTGGGTTCGATTCCTCATCCCACAGTGTGTTGGTCTGTCGAAACAACACACAAGTGTTCATTTTACATAGCTAGTCATGACTTCGCCAAGAAAAACACAGGTCTATATTGCATACAATCGGTGGACCTACTCCAGTTATGTATAAGCCTCAGTTTCAGAAACACTCGAACTCGAACTTGTGAAATGAGCAGTAGTCACCATTTCGTCACGCATACGCAGTATTCCCAGTACGGTCATCGACCCAGCAGGAAGGCAGTAAACTGCCAACATGGTGACAGAGCATCGTTTACGTAAAATTAACCAGTAGATGGAGACTTTCAAAATTCTGTCGTGACCAGACACCATTAACAGCACCAAAAACGCTACCGACACCGCCTCGCACGTCAAGCGAATTACTCCGTTAAGCACGTTATCTGAACACTCATCATCACCTGTAAAAGTACCTGTGGCGTCTTTCGTTCCTTGAAAAGTTTTACTTGGACCGACAAAAATTCACATCTCATTTGCTCGACGTCAACACGCACCTTTGTTCTCATGTGGAGGTATGACCATGAGTGTCGTATCTTGAAAAATTACCTGTCAAAATGTGTCCAACTTTACCAACAGTTCCAATTTTCTTAGCCTTCCATTCCTTTTTCTTTGTACAGTGTTCTCCAAATTGTGATCCCTTTTGGCAAGTGTGATGTAATACCAACAACTCACAGAATATATCCCCCAACAGTGTTTTTATCATTGCTTAAAGCTCTTATTAAATCAAGTAAAAATCAATCTAATATACTTCGAAGTTTTTCCCTGAAGGCCTTATGCGTACCAAGCCATTTCCTTCATCTGATGAAATATGCCACAAACAAGTAAACGAAACAAATCTGCATTTCAGAGTTTTTTTTTTCAATCTTAGATTTCTTATCCGGTTTGAAATGCCAGTGGCCACTTACTAACTAGTTGGAATTTTTTTGAAATATATATATGTACATTTAGTCATCTCAGATAACAAAGTCCCTAGGACAGTCATCATCATCATCATCAAGATCGATAGGATGACATCAGTGTTCACCACCGATGCTTCACTGCCGTACAACCATGATTTATTTGAAGGCTTTATTGTAAAGAAAAGAGTGAAGGTGGACGGGGGAGGGATCAGTATCGGGTATCTGAAACTTCGCAGCCTAATTTTTAAGGAAGGGTTCTGGAACCGAAGGAAACTAAGAGTGGTAGGTGTGCTGTCTTTTACTTCCACTCCGTTCCATTAATCTAAAAGTTGTCCCACCTCTACATCGACAAGTCCAGCGACCATCTGGCGTTCCGGCTCAGTGAATCGTATTGCATCACACATTCTGACCTTCCCTGTGGTGCTTAGAATCGTTTTGAGGCAAACATCATGATCTCATTGCAATATGCTTCAAGGATTCACCCGTGAAGCGGTATGATACTACGTTACACTCTTTGGAGTTGCATAGTAATGCAAAGTGGCATGGTTAACAGGATCACGTGCGTTAAAAATTGATCGAAGTGCACACGTTTGAAATTGCAGTCTGGTCAAAAATCCCAACAGAGGAAAGGGTTTTATTCGATTAAGGATTTATTTTTCTTATTAAAGCTTAAAACACTGAAACTTTTCCGGGTTGCTAGCCATTTTGTGCGAAACGCACTTCGACTGTTATCGATTATACTCCTTGGCGACGGAATTCCATAAAGTGTACCCAGTAGCAACAACCTACGATCAAGGTATTGTTAACTTTGAGGGTGAAATGTGCAGTGCATTTAATCAATCGTACAGTTAGGTTCAGCCTAAAAGTAGTACATAATGAACAAACGCTCCACAATTCTCATCTTCCCAGATCCAAATTTTACGGTAGCCTGGATGTGGGTTAATGTGTTTGGCTTCTGTCAGAAGGTCATTCCTCCTATGTCCCCAATGCTACAGAGGAAGATAAGACCTCGCTTGATGAAATGCAGTCATGTTTAGGAGGCTCATGATATGTCGTGGATTTGACAAATTTCTCTGGAATGTCGATGACTAGTTTGGCACTGTTGACGACGCTTTCGACGGTTCTGATGAACGTACGACATACTTATTCGAAACTCAGTTAAACATCTCGTTTGTACAATTTTGGTTCAACTATAACATAAGGTTGACGGAAACCTGAAAATCACACCTAGCTAATGGACTCCCAGAAGGAAAAAATAGATCGTGGGCTGTCGAAGATGTCATCGCAACCTCATGAGTAGTGGAACATGAACATAGTTTTACTAATGCTGTTTACGAGAATTAGTATGTGAGGTCATAAAATTCTCAGATGATTTCTTAGGATTGTTAATGTTTTAGGTCTACTTCGAGAATTGAATAGATGAAAAGACAAGCTTTGTTTTGCCAAATTCCAGTGGTCATTCAGCTTCAAACTCATCTTTCAAGCGTAACGAACAACTGTACGCTTTCTACTCACTGTACTGCAAATAAAAAAGTAGTCAGTAGCCGATTACACATTTTAATGAATGACATGAGCCGGCAGATATGTTAGGTTTTAGTAATACAAACTCACCTGGAATCCAGCTGAATCTCTCGTTTGAAACTGGACTGTCGAAGAATTTTCAGCAGCCTTACGAGTAGTGTTATGTTTTAATTTACGCACTTTCCAGCTTGATAAATGAAAAAACAATGCCGGAGGCAGTCGAGTATCTGCAAGTCCTGTGCGACGCATCACTAGACAATTCTGTAAAGCCTTTTTACTCTTCCAGACAACGCTTACTCCTGCTTGCTTCTTGTGTTTCTTGATCCTTTGATTTAGGTTTCTTTCATCTACTGAAGTGAGCATCGGCATGTAGTAGGATAAATTATCGATATTTTTGTGATTTGCCCGAGATTTTCATATCAGACTGGAAGATATCCGGATGAGAGGGACTACTGTAACTTGGAAGTATGTCCACGAGAATTCCAAGTGGGTGATATACTTCAAGCCTTTCAATGATCCGGCAGAATGTGTTTGGTTTCGGCGAGATATTAGCGTCTCATCGAACCCGG